TAATGCACAGGAGGACAGTCCTTTGAAAACAGTGCTGACCTGTAGCAACACTGAGCTCTCAAAAATCTAAATTCAGGATAATTTGATAGCTGAACTGGAGAATTTACACTTCATCCCAAGTTTTCAAAGACCAAGAGTCTAGCAAAACATACCTTTTTAATAAAAGCAAACTCAAACGACTCCACAGTTATGGAGTCTGACTTTTAGAATTTATAATTAAGCTCCCCTCTACAGCCATGAGGGATAGATTTTATTTCTAAACCATATTCAACATTTTCTAGTAGTAACACACACTGCTGGGGCCTGGGATGTTCAGGAGAAATGGAAAACATATGTTACAGCAGCAAGAGGAAAAAAATGAGTTACCAACACATGGGAAAGATCCATGCTTTGATTAATGCAGATCTTAAAAAAGAAGAGTGGGGGGAAAACAGGGAGCAGATATTTACTACATGCTTTCTAAAGTTTTATTATAATGCTTGCATTCTCGCTAGCTGAATCAGAACAAAAATAAATGGAAATGCATTCATTTGCTGCAGAAGTCTTCTCTGTATTGCATCCTTTGAATGCACAAAGGTTAGCAGACAGAGTTCAAACACTTCTAACATGACTGATCCCACTTTCCCCTTTCTAATGCATCTCAAATACATGAATTTGCCCTACTCAGCCTGAGAACTAAGACTGGTTACTGAGTAGGCACAGGCACTCAAAATACTCTTCATGCAAGCATGCCAAATGCATTATTTTGTGGGTGGGTGGGCAGGCCAATATAAGTGTGCCTGGGTGACAAAGTGGTCAGGGGACAAAGACTGAAATGAGTGAATACTGTCAAACTCTAACCTAACTTGAACTCTACCTTCACCATTTCAGATAAAGTGATTGGGAGCAAGATCACAACCTTGTCACTTACTTTGACCTAGCAGGTGTCATTAGATCCCTACACAGGCCATGGCAATTCACTAGACTGAGAAAAAGAATGTATATTTGTTGGGTTTGTTGTAGGTGTTTTTGCTTGTCAGCAGTTGTATGGACTTAGCAAGGGCTTCAGTAAGCATCAAAAGCAGCACACACAGCTGGAAGATGGGAAAGAAGGCAGTAACTTCTCTCTTCAGATGTGGTAAGTGGATAGATTAGCTCAGTTGTCTGGGATATCTCCACCCTTACTAAGACTCCACCAAATCCCCAGGATAACATATGGAAATAGTGAGTTGTGCCATCATGTTACTCTATAAAGATTATTCAATCACTTCATATGTTCTAATCAGCTGCTGTGAGTTGCATGCAGGTCCTTGGAACTTCCTGAGTTCAAGCTGCAAATGGGAGAGATGCGGACTGAGCAACCTCACTTGACAATAGGACTGAATGAACTCAGTGTGTCAACAAAATCCTAAACAAGGACTTGAAAACAGTACCGAGCAAAATTAGGCTACCTTATAAAGTCTAAAGTACTTCCACCATGTAAATGCCTAACATATAAAAAGCAATGAGGCTGTAATCAGATCTACTTACATTATTAGCAAAAATTCGAAGATCGAGGGCTACAGCATACATGATAGGTAAAGCCCTGGGAAAGTAAAAGATACTACACTAAGTAGATGCAAATAATACAGTAAGACAAGAGAAGTAGAAATATTTATTTTTTTTTGCCAGTTGGTCATCAGACTAGAGAGTATAAATTAATCTTTAAATAAAGGACACAGTTTTTAAAAGGAAAGGCCTTCAAGACCTCAGCATTTCAGAGATCCTACACCAGAAGAATTAATTTAGTAACATTTTTTACAGTGGCTTTAATAAAATACCATCTCAACTTGAAAAAAATCCTTCACATGTTTACATATGGACCATCCCACACAACTAAGCTCTAGATGCTTAGTTTTCACTTACTGGATCTAAAAACTCAAGCAGCAAGATCAATCAGGCTGCATTTTAAGTACTGCTGACGATAAATAAAAAATACAGGCCTAATTTTAATTGGATTACTACGGTACTATGACAGTGAAAGATGAGTGCCTAGCTTCTAGCAGCACTCTATGAGGTACTCACCAGTTTTCCTCTTTATGGGCTTGAAATGCTCGCAGGAAAGATGTATTGTATTTAGGAGAATTTAAAATGCTATTAAATGAAGCACAGATATAAAACCCAGCAGTTGTATAGTGCCACATACCACTGCATGAAAGGGCAGAAACCAACCAAACAGCAAGCAGATGAGGAGTCAGGATGCAAAGATGGAGCAGAGAAGACACAAGCACAGCCACACACTCCTTGATGTGGCAGCAGCCACAAGAAACACTGGTTGCTTAGAGATCAGACAGCAGCTTTCCTTATCAGTATCTTCCCCACAGCCAAGTACAAACTAAGGCACATGTTAATGATTTGAGGATCTCTTATACTCTGTGACAAATTAATTTCCTATTTTAGAGCAAAGTGACAGATTCCTTCTTGGCCCTACAGAAAGCTGAAAGAAGACTCTACTTATATATCCTTGCTTAAGAACTTAAAATAGCTGAAGCGTATTTAGAAGCAAATCACATTCTGTAATATTTTAAGAGGTAAAGATAACTTATTCCACAAGAAAACATATAGTTAATCTCAAAACAATATACAAGATTTATGGCAAAGGATATTGGACAATAACAGTTTGGCATTTGTATGCTTCTATAAAGTCATGGTTTCCAACAGCATAAGTACACCTGTCAAAGAAAAACTGCATTAATGCATCAGAAAATATCATATATGTAAGACAACTGTTAGCTTTTGCCTTTTAGTAGGCATACAGCTTCACAGATTATTTAAAAGACATACAGAAATATATTAGAAGAGCTCCTAACAAAACACCACAAGTATTTTAACACTAAGTCTTATTGTTATAGAAAAGTGATCCAAGAGAAGAATGGGCATTTGTTTGTTAATATGCACAATATCAGCTGTAACACACTAATGCTTATTGAAACTGTCCCCAAGGTTAGCATAGTTAAAAAAAATATTCTAAGCCTGTTGAAAGCCAACAGAAGAATTTGTTAATGCAGAATTATTTATAAATAAAAACCTCACAGAATTACTTAGGTCTTAAAGTTACCTTAAGAGTACTTCTATGACTAGAATTGCCTTTTAAAAATATTTCCCTTACTTATTTCACTCCATATTCTTGTGTAGCTAGTAAATGCAGAGCTGAGGATAGAGCAAACACTGAAACCAAAGCTGTGTCACTGGCTACATGCAGATGACTGCAAGGTACATGAAGCACATTTTATGTGGAGAGGAAGAAGGTCTTTATTTCCTGCAGTTCAAGCATTATTTATAAGACTAATAAATACCAAGTTTTCAGAGGTAAGCTTTTTTAAATAACTAAGTAAACTTAAGGATAACTTTCCCCATCCCTGCTGGATGTCTCACAACTCCCTTTCCATTTCTGGTCCACCGGTACCTTAAGTGGGCTGCAAACATTTCATCATATGGAGGTTCCAAAACTTGTTGACACTTCTCCTCTGGAGATGGAAGCTAGGTATAGAATAAATCAATGACAGATGAAATGAACATCCAGTGCACCAGAACCAGATCAGTTTTATGCATACATGTCTGCTTAATCTATCAGAACCTTAAGGTATATGAATAATCACATCCTGTGTAATGGAGTTGCTTGTGTGCATTCTGTCTTCAGAACCTGATCAGAACTGGCCTTAAATAAAACCATCCAAAATGCATGTAGCACAAACACTGGAGTCTTGCTACACACTGGTTTTCTCTGTATAGTCACTCCCACTGTGCCACATTACCAACTAACATAGACCTGGCCAGGGGGACTTTCCAGAAAACAATTCTAAGTGGAACACAAAAAGCCATCCAGAAGAAAAAAAAAATAATAAAATATATAATATCCTTGTAAGAAGAAAAGGGAAATGAACCTACAAGGGGATCCTACTCTGGCCTGGGTGACAGGTTTCTGAGGTTTATCTCTAATGGAAAGCAACCCATGTAAAGAGCTAGGAAAATTGAAAGCAGAATAAAAGGCAGTTAAAAAACAGATTCTCACCTGTAGCCTTGGGTTTGCAACATGTGGATGTTTAAATGATACCAATTCTGCACAAAATTGTCCATCTCTGCTGTCAATGGCTTCTTGTACCTACAAAAAAACCAGCCCCATGATATAATAAAATCAGCCCACAGCCACCCAATATATTTACAGATGACTACAGGAGCCATGTTCTTGTTACCACTGTTCATCCATATCAATACCAACTCAAATGCAAGTTTCTAAAGGTTTAACACTAAATGAATCAATACTGGACTTTAGATGCACCTGTTATTCAAAAAGATGTCAGGGAGAAGGTGAGGCAAACACTATTGTGTGCCTTATTTGTGGAATATAAGCAAACCAGAGAATCTCCAGACAACTTAGGTAAGTTTAACATTGTAAAATAGCAGCTGTGAATCAGATTTGGTTAAGTTTTCTAAAATTCTAGTTGGTCTTAGGAGCATCAAACATATTTATGAAGGCAGAAACAATCTTTTTTTATTGTTGTTAGTAATGCTGCAGATGGAATCTGCACATCATGAGTCAGGTCTTGCAAATATATTTCATATTAATTTAATATTTAATAAAGAAAAAAAACTACTTCAAAACCACAAAATAAGCTCTCCTTTACTCAGAAAAAGAACAAAAAAAAAAAAATCACACAAATCCCTGAAAGAGTTTAAGCAGTATAATATCACACATTGCCTCTTGAATGATAGATACCTGTTTAATCTACCTGCCTTTAATTTTAAGTGTTATGCATCCTGTTATCTGACACTTCCTCACCCACTGCTTTGGATTTCCATCCTCACCTAGTGAGCATCCATTCCATCAATAAAGTGTCCGAGTTTGACACAGCAAAATGGTTTTTCAGAAGAGATAAGGTATTGGTGAGGGGTGTGCATGAACCTCAGAAAATGTGGACAATTCAAACATGCAGACATGGTGTATACGATAGGGATGGTGGAAAGGAGCACAAGGACTGTCAACTGGAGAAGATTATGACTTTTCAGAGCACATCACTGCCCTGAGAGGTCTCAAGCACTTCATTTTTGAGACTCAATCCCAAGCCATAACTCTCTTTTTGTGCCCTTCACTCCGTTGACTTGACTGATTGTGATTGTGTGATTGAAGCAAGTAAGATGGTAACAGTGATGAAAATAGGATGGTTCAGAAAGAAACATTAAGAGAGATCACACTAAAATCTTGACATTAAAAGTTCAGTCCAGCTGCATCCTTGTTCCGGTCTCTCCATCCTCCATGCCCTACGCAGCAAGTCTCTGCACTTCTGTACTTATTAATTGCCTGTATTTCTTACATCCCTGAGCTGCATTTGTCACTGCATGCACACACAACCCTACTGTGCTAGGAAAACGTGTTGTCTTGTGGAAAAATAACTTCACTACCCGTTATATCAGTAGCCATCATGCTTTTCAGAGGGCCCAGGCATCCTTGGCAGACAGTGACATACTTAAAGAACCTATTTCTTTGCCCAATTTGTTTCTTATTCCCGTTTTATTTCTTAAGCTAAGTCACAAACCTCCAGCCAAGCAAGCCACGCCCACACGGTGCCCACAGGCACAGACCCCACTTGGCTTACCTGCTGCAGGTACTGGTTGATGGTGATGTGCGCCATGGCAGCCGGAGAGGCCGCAGTCCCGGGGGAGGGGCGGCTGCCTCACATTCTGCGGGAGGAAGGGGAGCTTAAAGCACAGCGAAGGCAGCGCCTCCCGCCCGCCGCCCTGAGGAGGCACCGCAGGGCTCCGCCAGCCCCGGCGGGGG